TCCTGATTCCTCTATATAGATCCTATCACTAGAGGGGTCCCCGGCAGGAGGAAGGAGGTCCTGATTCCTCTATATAGATCCTTATCACTAGAGGGGTCCCCGGCAGGAGGAAGGAGGTCCCGATTCCTCCAGATCCCGGAGCTCAGTGTAGCATGCACATATATTAGTACGGATAGACGGCACAAAGTGTAGAACTAATGAGAAATGTAAATGGGTTCAGTAATAGAGTTCATAAAGGCCAAATGTGGTCTCCTGGGAAACTCTCGCTGGCCTCAGGACTCTCGGAGCAACACCTCTGGGAGACGGAAATCTCTCTGGGAATGACCGACGAGGGACAAGAGGGGGCGCATCTGAGTGTAGCAAGACTACATATGTATTGTGGTGAAGAGCCAACTCACTGGCGGCACTTACTTGCCCATCAGTACAGTCGTTCCTCTGAAGGTCTCAGCACAACAAGGAACTCAAAATCCAGTCCAAGACTTGCACCCGCCTGCAAGCCAGACATTCCCGTGGAACCGAGGAGACACCAGAGGAACAAAACTAAGTGCCACAAAAACAGTAACAGACGTGTACACAAGATTGGCCACTCATAGGTGAAGACAAAACGGTGCTTAGAATGAAGGTTTGGGCCACGTGGTGGACGTGGCATCTCCATCAATACTCAGCAGCCTGAAGGGTCAAGGTGTGGAAACCAGAGTGCTGGACATGGCACAGGAAGTAGAAGATGGAGGACTCCATGGAGCAGAGTGGGTTGGAAGTGCCCTCACATACTGGCGCATGGCTATGAGTTTCAAGGCTGCCCAGGCTCTGTCAAGTCCAACTCAAGCTTGGCAAAGGCTGTGTAGCAGCAAAATGAGTAGCCATGTCCCCCGACGGGAGGGATTTGTGTCTCCAGATCTCAATCCAATCGAGAATCTGTGGAAAAACAAGTCCAATCCATGGAGGTCCCACCTCCAACTTACAGGACTTAAAGGATCTGCTACAGACGGCTTGGTGCCAGATACCACAGATACCTTCAGAGGTCTAGTGGAGTCCATGCCTCGGATCAGGAAAGCGGGACCTACCCAATATTAGGTGGGTGGTCAAAATGTTATGTCTGATTGGTGTAGAAAACATTTTCCAACCTTCTGATGGAGTGTCTAGAAGGAAGAGATGGACCCCACCCCCCACCATGTGTACATGATACAATGCTGCACTCTGATGTCCCATCTCCACCCAGCCAATCAGAAGTGAGCAGAGTCCCCATACACAGTGAGTATTCCAGCTCCATGTTCACGGTAAAGCAGGTGGACTATTCCAGTCTGACCTCTGGAGGATAAAACCTCCTTCCAGTGGCGCTCATTGATGGACACGATTTATCCTCTACAAGTCACGCCAAACCGGGCGACTTCCAGACAGATTCCCGAGAGGCCGCAGATAATTAAAAGCAAATTAAACCTGAAGCCGTTCAGCTGTAACCCGTTGTAGGTACAGAGTCCTGCCTGAGAACAATCTTCTGACAGCCGCCAACCAGCGGAACCAACACAGCGCCGCAGCTGTCGTACTAAGAAGTCACAGAATTAGGAGAAGGCCCTCGCCAGCCCCACCGAGGGCCCTCGCCAGCCCCACCGAGGGCCCTCGCCAAGCCCCACCGAGGGCCCTCTCCAGCCCCACAGAGGGCCCTCTCCAGCCCCACAGAGGGCCCTCTCCAGCCCCACAGAGGGCCCTCGCCAGCCCCACAGAGGGCCCTCGCCAGCCCCACAGAGGGCCAGCCAGCCCCACAGAGGGCCCTCGCCAGCCCCACAGAAGGCCCTCTCCAGCCCCACAGAAGGCCCTCTCCAGCCCCACAGAAGGCCCTCTCCAGCCCCACAGAAGGCCCTCTCCAGCCCCACAGAAGGCCCTCTGACCTATGGGAGCCGACCTGGGAAGGCTAACAGCTTTGATTGCTGACCACACTTCACAGGTCATTAGAAACCCAGACCGGAGAAATGATCTGTGCCTGTTATGAGGAATAGCCAACATTAACCCAGGACAGACCTACCCCAAGTGCCCAGAACTGGAGGAGGTTTTAAAGTGGACCTGTAATACATATTTAAAGGGGAAATGCAGAAAGTACAACGCCAGTGACCCCCTTCCAGGTATCTATTACCTCTAAGAGATCACAAAAATCCCCCTGACAATGTCTTCATCTGACCTTCCCCAACAGGCGCCATCTTTGTTCAGGCATCATCCTAGGTTCTCATCTACTTCCTGGACTTAGGTGGTGGTGGATCTTCTCAGTGGAGGTCTTTACCTACTTTTGGCCATCCTGGGGTTGAGATGCCAAAGTTCAGTTATCAAGCTTAAAGAAAAATATCTTTCCTTCATTCCAATGGTCCGTCTCCCACCAAGGTCCCTCGCCGGCATCTTCTCCCCACCTAACAGAAGGAGGTCTTCAGCTCCCTTGATTGGCTGGCATGGAAAGACATCACGTGTGTGTATGTGCAAGAGTGTAGTCATCACGTGTGTATGTGCAAGAGTGTAGTCATCACGTGTGTATGTGCAAGAGTGTAGTCATCCCAGCACACAGGCAGAGTGCCGGAATATAACTGGAGCTGCACATGTGCCGGGTCGGAGTACAGAACCTTCTACAGGGGATGGTGGACGGGCAGGGAGGAGGATCTGATTATCGCACACACACTGCATGGGACATCTGCAAAAATATCCGGAACGTTTGTCATCTTCCAGCTTAGTTCCCCTTTACCCAACGCTCCCTGAGACAGAAAAGTTCCAAGGCCATTGTAGCACTGACTTCCAGGAATCCATCTGCCATTACCTCAGGCATGCAGGGAGGATGTGCTAAGCTGAGAAAGACCCTCCTCCCATTAGGACTCCTGGGATTGGCTAGGCCAGAAGAAACCAGGAAGACACTAAAGAAATGTAAAAAGGACAAAAAAAAAAAAAAAATGTACTGGTGCCGGCAGCATAAGGATCCTGATCCAATACAAGAAGGTAGAATGGTCCCGAGTTCTGATCCAATACAAGAAGGTAGGAGGGCCCTGGTCCTGATCCAATACAAGAAGGTAGGAGGGGCCCCGAGTTCTGATCCAATACAAGAAGGTAGGAGGGTCCTGGTCCTGATTCTGATCCAATACAAGAAGGTAGGAGGGCCCTGATCCTGAGCTCTGATCCAATACAAGAAGGTTGGAGGGCCCTGGTCCTGATCCAATACAAGAAGGTTGGAGGGCCCTGGTCCTGATCCAATACAAGAAGGTTGGAGGGCCCTGGTCTGATCCAATACAAGAAGGTTGGAGGGCCCTGGTCCTGATCCAATACAAGAAGGTTGGAGGGCCCTGGTCCTGATCCAATACAAGAAGTTGGAGGGCCCTGGTCCTGATCCAATACAAGAAGGTTGGAGGGCCCTGGTCCTGATCCAATACAAGAAGGTTGGAGGGCCCTGGTCCTGATCCAATACAAGAAGGTTGGAGGGCCCTGGTCCTGATCCAATACAAGAAGGTTGGAGGGCCCTGGTCCTGATCCAATACAAGAAGGTAGGAGGGCCCTGGTCCTGATCCAATACAAGAAGGTTGGAGGGCCCTGGTCCTGATCCAATACAAGAAGGTAGGAAGGCCCTGATCCTGATCCAATACAAGAAGGTAGGAGGGCCCTGATCCTGATTCTGATCCAATACAAGAAGGTAGGAGGGCCCTGATCCTGAGTTCTGATCCAATACAAGAAGGTAGGAGGGCCCTGATCCTGAGTTCTGATCCAATACAAGAAGGTAGGAGGGCCCTGATCCTGAGTTCTGATCCAATACAAGAAGGTAGGAGGGCCCTGATCCTGAGTTCTGATCCAATACAAGAAGGTAGGAGGGCCCTGATCCTGAGTTCTGATCCAATACAAGAAGGTAGGAGGGGCCCTGATCCTGAGTTCTGATCCAATACAAGAACAAATAGGAAGGGCCCTGATCCTGAGTTCTGATCCAATACAAGAAGGTAGGAGGGCCCTGATCCTAAGTTCTGATCCAATACAAGAAGGTAGGAGGGGGTCCCAGGGTCCTGATCCAATACAAGAAGGTAGGAGGGCCTGGTTCCTGATCCAATACAAGAAGGTAGGAGGGCCCTGGTCCTGATCCAATACAAGAAGGTAGGAGGGCCCTGATCCTGAGTTCTGATCCAATACAAGAAGGTGGAGGGCCCTGATCCTGAGTTTCTGATCCAATACAAGAAGGTAGGAGGGCCTGGTCCTGAGTTCTGATCCAATACAAGAAGGTAGGAGGGCCCTGATCCTGAGTTCTGATCCAATACAAGAAGGTAGGAGGGCCCTGATCCTGAGTTCTGATCCAATACAAGAAGGTAGGAGGGCCCTGATCCTAAGTTCTGATCCAATACAAGAAGGTAGGAGGGCCCTGGTCCTGATCCAATACAAGAAGGTAGGAGGGCCCTGGTCCTGATCCAATACAAGAAGGTAGGAGGGCCCTGGTCCTGATCCAATACAAGAAGGTAGGAGGGCCTGGTCCTGATCCAATACAAGAAGGTAGGAGGGCCCTGGTCCTGATCCAATACAAGAAGGTTTGAGGGCCCTGATCCTGAGTTCTGATCCAATACAAGAAGGTAGGAGGGCCTGATCCTGAGTTCTGATCCAATACAAGAAGGTAGGAGGGCCCTGATCCTGAGAGCTAACAATCTAAATAAATGATACCAAAAAATAAAATAATGGGGGGAGCCGATGGAGAAAGTAACGCCATCAGTTATTGGTGGAGGTGGGACAGACCACCGTGGGAGAAGGATCTATACAGAGAGGACATTTTGGGGGGGGAAGAGGCACAAGGCTCTGATTTCCAGCCATTTGAGATCGGGGGGGGGGGGGGGGGGGGGGGGTGGAAGGGGTTCTGCATCTCCATGAATCTCAGGAGCAGATGGGAGCCGAGATCTCTCCTTCCAGGTAAGAGCGCGGCGGTCTGTTACCGAGCCGCTATGTACAATCTGTCACAATGACAGCAGCAGTGGAGGACGTCACCGGTGAACTCTGCCGGGGGGGGCAATATGCTTTGGTGGGTGGGTGTCAGGCTGAAGGAGTGGGCGGGCAGTATTTACATCAGTAAACGCCCACATGTGAATCTGAGCCTCCATGAAAGAACTGAAAATTGAATGAAAGGGGCGGGGCCGGGAACAGTCAGGCTGGGAAGAAAGGTCTAGATGATGCTGGACGGCCTGCAGCCAGGAAATGGGGCGGAGCTCTGACTGGTTGCAGCTTCTAATGCACATTGGATGAGAACCTCCCATGTGCAGTGACATCAGAGGAACCGGGGGAGGAGCCCGGACACCCGCGCAAGACTGGAGGGGGAGGAGCCCGGACACCCGCGCAAGACTGGAGGGGGAGGAGCCCGGACACCCGCCGCAAGACTGGAGGGGGAGGAGCCCAGACACCCGCGCAAGACTGGAGGGGGAGGAGCCCGGACACCCGCGCAAGACTGGAGGGGGAGGAGCCGGTGGTACACCTGTGCAAGTCTGAAGGGGAGGAGCCGGTACGGGACACCTGTGCAAGACTGAAGGGGAGGAGCCGCTACACCTGTGCAAGACTGAAGGGGAGGAGCCGCTACACCTGCGCAAGACTGGGGGGAGGAGCCGCTACACCTGCGCAAGACTGGAGGGGAGGAGCCGGGACACCTGCGCAAGACTGGAGGGGAGGAGCCGCGGACACCTGCGCAAGACTGGAGGGGAGGAGCCGGGACACCTGCGCAAGACTGGAGGGGAGGAGCCGGGACACCTGCGCAAGACTGGAGGGGAGGAGCCGGGACACCTGCGCAAGACTGGAGGGGAGGAGCCGGTACACCTCTGCAAGACTGGAGGGGAGGAGCCAGGAAGAGTCAGGCAAAGTACGGCGTGGTCAGCCCACGGGGACACGGACTCTCTCTGTACTTTTTGCCCTTCTAAATAAGCCAGAAAATCATATCAATAAAGTGTTCCGTTTGAAATTCCGGTTAATGAAATGTTCTGGGAGGGATTATCTGTACCGGATCAGCGCCCCGCCGGATTAGCCCGCTCGCCCTACTTTTCCCAGCCGCGGCGTTTTGCTCTATTTTTCAGGAAACGATGACTGCGATGGCGGGATATTAATATCGGCCCGGATAGGAGGCCCCCAGACAGGTTTTCGCTCCTCACCGCCGTCCTCGGAGTGCAGATCAGCGCGCCGCGGTTCTGGCAGCGGGAATTCGTATAAACACAGGAAGGAGACGATCTGCTATCAGCACTGGAATGCGGCTGAATTAATTCATGAGATGTGCAGTGCGATTCCTCCCCGGGGTCTGAGCGCAGAATCCTCGCATCGCAGTGTTCCAGCAGTGCCGGGTTTTCTGAGGTCCCTGTGTCAGCAACGGCCAACATACATGGACAGCAATAAAGGACAGTTGGAGCGATTTGTATTGGATGGAGCAGGGAAAGGTGACAACACAACACGGAATATTACACAGGATAGGGCTGGGATTACACTTCAGACAGATTTGTTTTTTCTGTGTTCTATTGGGGAGATTTCCCTTCATTTCCTCGAAACAGGAAATCAGACATAAAATAATGTGGAGATCAAAACCGATTTCATCACACTTCCTGTTCCAGTGGCAACGAATTTGGGATGTGTCACCCCTTCCTCTTCCAGTGGCATCCAATTTGGGAAATCCCGCCCCTTCCTGTTCCAGTGGCATCCAATTTGGGACGTGCCACCCTTCCTGTTCCAGTGGCAACGAATTTGGGATGTGTCACCCCTTCCTCTTCCAGTGGCATCCAATTTGGGAAATCCCGCCCCTTCCTGTTCCGGTGGCATCCAATTTGGGACGTGCTGCCCCTTCCTGTTCCGGTGGCATCCAATTTGGGAAATCCAGCCCCTTCCTGTTCCGCTGGCATCCAATTTGGGATGTGCCGCCCCTTCCTGTGGCATCCAATTTGGGACATCCACAACTTCCTGTTTTGTTGACATCTATAGTTGTGGATGTCCCACCACTTCCTATCTTGGAAACATTGGTCACCAGGAAAAAAAAAAAAAAAAAAAAAAAAAAGAGAACCTCCTCAGAGGGGTCAAAGAGCAATGACCCCCCCCCCCCCATGAAGCAGCAAAGGCAGCTGTATGACGTATAGACAATCCGCCACCAAACAACATACTGAAGTGAATTGGGATGTGCCGCAACCCAGGGCCAAATACTAGGCCTGTGGCTGCACACAGTCACAGTATTCCCACTTAAAAAGCTCAATTGGTCATCAAAGAAAAGGCAACTAGAAGGCAATAGATTTGCTTCTGGAATCTGTGGTCTACCCCCCCCCTTCTATGAAAAGCAACCCACTGTAGATCTCCTTTCACAGTCAAACACAAGTGTAAAGGCAGTCTAATAGTGCAGATCCAAGGACACGGCCTGATAAAAGTGTTAGCATCACATCATATCCTGAGCCGTGTCCCTCATGAGAAGAAGTCTTCTATACATTACTGAAGACTACATTTTTGGTTCTCCCAGTTGCTACAATTCAATACTTTCCATACAGCAGAAGATCATTGTTGGAGTGTCGAGACCAACCACAGAGGAACTCCTTGAAAAAATGTTTCGGTCTCAGGGACCCCCTGAGTGGTGGGAAGTGGAAGGAATGTCCCTTACATTGGGGGGTCAGTGGGAAGAATGTCCCTTACATTGGGGGTCAGTGGGAAGAATGTCCTTACATTGGGGGTCAGTGGGTAAGAATGTCCCTTACATTGGGGGTCAGTGGGAAGAATGTCCCTTACATTGGGGATCAGTGGGAAGAATGTCCCTTACATTGGGGGTCAGTGGGAAGAATGTCCCTTACATTGGGGGTCAGTGGGGGGTAGAATGTCCCTTACATTGGGGTCAGTGGTGGGAAGAATGTCCCTTACATTGGGGCGTCAGTGGGGTGGTATAGAAACGTCCCTTACATTGGGGGTCAGTGGGGGGAAGAACGTCCTCTTACATTGTGGGGTCAGTGGGGGAAGAACGTTTTTCCCTTACATTGGGGTCCTCAGTGGGGGGGGAAGGTAACGTCCCTTACATTTGGGGGTCAGTGGGGGGAAGAAACGTCCCTTACATTGGGGGTCAGTGGGGGAAGAACGTCCCTTACATTGTGGGTTCCGTGGGGGGAAGAACGTTCCCCTTACAATTGCGTGGTTCAGTGGGGGGAAGAACGTCCCTTACATTGTGGGTGTCAGTGGGGGAAGAACGTCCCTTACTTTGTGGGGTCGTGGGAGGAAGAACGTCCCTTACATTGGGGGTCAGTGGGGGGAAGAACGTCCTTTTACATTGGGGGTCAGTGGAAGAACGTCCCTTACATTGGGGGTTCAGTGGAAGGAAACGTCCTTACATTGGGGGGGTCAGTGGAAGAACGTCCCTTGGGGCATGGGAAAACTCCCTTCATTGGGGGGCAGTGGGAAGAACGTCCCACATTGGGGGGGTCAGTGGGGAAAAACCCCTTACATTGGGGGGCAGGGGAAAACTCCCTTTCATTGGGGGGCAGTGGGAAAACTCCCTACAATTGGGGGGATGGGGAAAACCCCTTTCATTGGGGGGGCGTGGGGAAAACGTCCCTTACATTGGGGGTCAGTGGGGAAAACGTCCCCTTTCATTGGGGGGGGGCAGTGGGAAGAACTCCCTTACATGGGGGGGTCAGTGGGGAAAACGTCCCCTTTCATTGGGGGGTCAGTGGGGAAAAACTCCCTACATTTGGGGGGGGCATGGAAGAACCCCTTTCATTGGGGGGGCAGTGGGAAGAACCCCTTACATTGGGGGGGTCATGGGAAAACTCCCTTACATTGGGGGGGTCAGGGGAAAACCCCTTACATTGGGGGGTCATGGGAAGAACGTCCCCTTTCATTGGGGTCAGTGGAAGAAGTC